TGTGTGTGTGTGTGTGTGTGTGTGTGTGTGTTGTGTGTGTGTGTGTGTGTGTGTGTGTGTGTGTGTGTGTGTGTGTGTGTGTGTGTGTGTGAAGGAAATAGTGCAAGGAAATATACAGAGAGGGAACGGGTGTGAGCTGCTCCTAGGCTGCTAGGAGTGTCCTTGGACTGCCCTCCTCTCTGACGCACACATCCACCCACCCACCCTTTCACACACACACACACACACACACACACACACACACACACACACACACACACACACACACACACTTGTTCATTTACTCCCTCCTTGATCAGACAAATACAAAACTAGGCTTGCATGTGTACGTACACGCTGCTAGGTACAGGCCCAGGGACAAATACACTTGCTTCTTCGTTCACTAACAAAATGCACACACACACACCCCCACACATACCCACACACGCAAATTGGTAAGCTCTTGGACTGAGCTCAGACATCTCATCAGGGATGCAGCAGAGCCCCTGTCTGCAGAGAGAGACAGAGAGAGAGAGAGAGATCTCATCTGATGTGAAGTAGAACAACGGTGGAGGGGTCCTAGTTGATTTACATGGGTGAGGTGTGTGTGTGTGTGTGTGTGTGTGTGGTGTGTGTGTGTGTGTGTGTGTGTGTGTGTGTGTGTGTGTGTGTGTGTGTGTGTGTGTGTGTGTGTGTGTGTGTGTGTGTGTGTGTGTGTGTGGCAACCAATGGTACATTCACATCCAACACAGCATGGCAACCAAAAAACGACAATGAATAAAAGTCCACACACGGAGGTTAGTATGCCAATGCGCTCATCTTTTTATTGCACAACAATGTATCGTCTTTTTACGAACGCTTAAACGACATTGCCACTGACTGACAGACCAGCTTATTGAGAGAGACCAGGGTGTGGCTCTGTATTCTTGGCCATCAGAGGTGGTGGACAAGACAGCCTTTTGGACGCAGGCCCAAATCAGCCCCCCCACTCCCATCGCCACCAGCTGTGCATCTCAGTCTGAAAGGACTGGACGGCAACAAATATCGCCAGCATCACAAGTATCCCCCTGATCCTTTGAGATCGATTTGGAAGTGCTGCGGCCCGGGCTGGGGGCTGATTTGTCCCTGGACTGTAGACATCAACTTAGACAGAGCTGGAGTTCTGAAATACTTAAAACTTGTTGTTAAGAGCAGAAGCAGAGCACAGCCTGAGACTGTTGCAGATTGGCCTCCAGAGAGAAAGAGAGACACACGCTGTGTCAGATATCTGTGCTGTTGTCTACATGGTGCTGGTAAAGTGTGTATGGATGCCCACACTGAGCTGCTCGGGCAGGCTGTGGAATAAGTCTAGGGATGTGCTGGAGTCTTTTATAGGAGCATTACAGTGTTGTTTTTTAGTGTGTCGTTACCATGTAACACTTTTCCAGCTTGTGCTGGCGTCTCTCTCAGCTTCACATGGGTTTTAAACCCCTAAATGGCATCATATTCTCAAGTGGGACCAACATTATAGAAGGAAAGGCACAGGAACACACACGCACACACAAACAAACTCAAGCACACAATACACAGAGTCCTGAAGCAGAGAGAAGGCTTAGGTAAGCTAAGTAGGCTACAGTAGCTACGACACAAAGGTTTAACTGTTAGACTAAATAAAATCATTGTACAGTAGTTGGTTCACAACAATGTCTAGGTAGAAGGTCCCACTAAGAATCGTACACAGAACTCTGCGTAGATAATAACAATACAAGCATGCACTCTGCTGTTATCTGTCAAGGTAACTCAACCCTGGCGTCGAGCTTGTGACTGCTGTGGCTCGTGAGCCAAATTCAGCCTTAGAGAGATATTTTATTTTTTTAATGGCAAACCAGATCCATGTTCAACTAGCATATAGTTCAACGACCTGTGCAACACTATGGTTTGGGAAAGATGTTCCAGCAGTCTAGTTTTATTCCTGTATTTATATTGTGCAGTCGTCTCCACAGTTTCATTAGTTATTTTCTTTCTTGCGTTTAGCTCTGTGCACTAAGAAGGTCGTCTAAGCTAACATCCAGACTGCCGATATCCACCAGAAGCCTGTCAGAGCTCACCCTCTCACTGTAGAAAATGTTTCTTATACAGCAGGTTGCGGTAAACACGACAATGTGCCCCACATCTGTGTGTATACCATATGTACAGAACATGAATGTACAGAGTACAGCGCGCATGGTGTTGGAAGGCTCAAACCAACAAAAATGTGCAATTTTGTGTTTCCCAAATCAGGGGAAAATTATATATACTGACATTGTCATTTAAATTCAGGAATACTAGTCTGCATCTAATGTGTTTTTTTGTTTTAGTTTTTTTTTACATATATTGCAAGTTGAAAATAAAAACAGATATTTGCATTTTTACAGGCACATACATACCACAAAAATAGACTATGTGGAAACTAGATATACTAGGCACAAGGTATATACAGTCCATGTGCATGGGGCACATTTCAAAAACAACAATAAAACCAAATGTACTGATAAATCAAATACAGTACAACAAAAAGAATACCCTGATTTGCTAACATATCAACACCAAGGCATTCAGTACCCTTAATATCTGGTACAGCAAGAATGAGAGGTTCGAAACTTAGATACTCTCAATAATTGTCAGTCAGTGTCAAACATGTATGAGGGATTTCAATCCCACTTCACAGCAAGTTCCAGTAGAAGAGCCATTAAAACAATCGCACTTTGAACCCCCCCGTCATCAGGCAGATACAGCGCTATATCACATTGACGGTGGCTGGAAGCAGACTGACTGAACACACTTGTGACACAGACACACAACAGATAACTGACAGAAGTATGTGCTTGGCCCGGGCTGTATCAGCCTCATGGCTGCGGGTTGAAACTGAGTGGTACTGATCAAAGTGAGTCTGGGATGCCGTCCTTTGAGTGGGAGTGAATTACACACTACAGTATCTTACTTGATGGACGCAATGAAACAGAGACGGTGCCTGATATTGCCTGAAACATTAGCTCTTTAACTCTCCTCCCATCTTGCTCTCACTGACTGTGGACTCATTCACATCATATCAGCACAGTCCTGATAGCAGCTTAATAGGGCAAACTCTGGTATTAGCACAAAGGAACAGGGAAGAGGACCAATTGATTGCACTGGAACAGTATTGAAGCACACAACAGCTATTGACTCAAATGGACGTGATTCATTCACAATCTTATTGGCATTTTGGCATGAACCTTTCCCATAGGAAAAAATATATCAGCAGGTCACCCTTGAAAAAGAGAGCAATGACCTCAATGGGATTCACCTGCATAAATAAAGGTTTGAAATGAAATATACACAGTTCCCGCTTTGCTGATGGATCGGGCTTCAGCACTGTGACCCAAGAATGGCAATGAACCAGGTTTAGTGCATGTTACTGATCAAATGGAAAGTGGAAATGTAGATGCTCCATAATGACAATGATCCAGGGTTTACAAGCAATATTATAAAGCCCTTGGATAAAAACAATCACTTACACCTTGTCTAAAGATTTAAATAGCTCTCAAGGGATCAAACTAGACGGCAGCGAGTTTTGTTAATAACAATCTGCCTCCATTCAATAGACCCATGTGTTTCTCCGGCAATCAAAATTCAAGGGGAATCTTTCGGCACGGTTAAATCAACAAGTTGATTATGGGAGGATGGATAAGTCTACATAAATCAATAGAGAGCCATGCTGCGGCAATCAATACATCCCTCTGGAAAGGTAGCTAACCTGAGTGAAATGTCCATTGCATTGATTTCACAGTTTGGCTAGGGGTCGATGCTCGGAGCTGGAAAAGTTGAACACAATGTTTGTTTAGCACATTGATACAGCTGCCTGTTTTCTTTCCCAATTAGATTCACTTTTCGTCCTTTACAGTTTAACCAGATAATGGGTCCCGGGGAAGTACTGCACCCGTTTTAAAAAGAATAGAGCAATCGATTTTCATTTTGATTACAAGGTTGAAGTGCAACAGCAGGTGCTTAACTAAATGTCCTCAGTGCTCGTTCTGGACCGAGGAGTTCAAAGTGGTTACAACTCGCTCTCGTTCACGTCCACCTCAATACATTAAAAACAATTGATATTCTTATGCAGATGTGGGGATTGGATTGGGTGTGTGAGGGGGGGTAACATACAGGTTAAATACAACAACTTTCTGCCCAGAGAAGCATCATCAAACCCAAAAAAGATTGCAAAGACACTCAGCAGCACATATAGCAATGCCCACAACCCCTTGGCATCATAAAAGCCTCTTTAGATGTCTTTCCCTTTATTTACATGGCAGTTTATATCTGATTAGCTGTCTTCCTTCTCTTATGGCATACATTCAGCGAGAGAAGGCTTTTAAGTTCAACAGGATCAGAATATTTTGAACAAATAAAACCAAGCCTCAACGCAATCCTGTAATTTGAGCAATAGGTTTGTTTAAGATCGAATTGTTGTGACATTCGTGGGAGTTTCGGCTGATATGGGGCACATAGAGACTTTGATATGGAGCAAAGAGTTTTTACAAGTGAGGCGTTAATGCCCCATATTGCCCACCCCCAGTCATTTTACAATTTAATATCTTCAAATGAGATTAAAGTGACATTTTTGAGGATTCCTCCTGTGACTCTAAACCAGTTTTGGGCAGTTTGTCCCGTCTATACAAAAATGAAACTGCACGTCCTCTCATTCCCTTCAAACATTTTTGGTTAAGGTAACAACATGGTCACTGGATTACAATACTTCAAGTGAAGCCACAATAGCTGCTGGATTCTTTAAGAGTTCACATTAAAAAGAAAACAAAGGAAATTGTTCCTGTACAGCATATGTATTGATATTTATATTCATATATATTTATATATAGGCGGGGTAGAGTATTGCAGAATTATATTGCATGTGTTAATCAATAAACCTAGACAAAAACAAGCAAGTATACAGTATGGGTTGTTCACAAATGTTACCTTCGATAAAGCTCAGATTATTTAACCACCTTTGCATTCAGGGTTACAATCAGTGCGCTGACCAAACAGCTGACCGCCTCCCAGATGTTTCATGGAAATAGGTCAGTGCCACCGTCAGCATGTCAAACCAATTGCGCTTGACAAAGTGTAGTGTGTGAGTCCATTCTCTGAAAATAGAACCAAAACGTACCAACAAACTCACGCACACAAACTTACACCCACATATATACATACACACAAACCAAATATATGGCTTCTAACGTTGAATCAAGGCAGTTAAATAAATGGCATTTCTTCTATGTTCCTTTTTTAGTTGATACAGACACAACCAGACTTTGTGTTCAAGCTCAACTTTGGTTTGGGTAGATACAATTAATATAATATCCCTCCTTACTTTTTTCAACAACTATTTACACATCGATGTAAGATCGACCAGCGGTCTAAAACACTATTTTCACTACAATTTTAAACAATATGAAGAGCAATGTGTTCTTTTGCTACGACAGCTTATACAGAAAAATTACACTCAGAACACTTTTGAACGCTTAAAATGTCATTGTCATTTGACTTCAAGTCCCTGATTTTCATTTTTAAGTCCAGCTCCTGCTAGATTGCATTGCATGGATTCTACACAGTATGCAATAGTTACATGAATCATACTTTTCTTCATATCTTTACAGTAAAGACAGCGATATACAGTAGGTGTTTGGAAGCAGAGTGTAAGGGGTGATACTAAGACTAAAGGTGCTGGGACAGTAATCTAGACCAGTTCCACCTTAAGTTATACTAGTTTAATTGTATAGACTCCTCCTAGCCAAAGTGTCTCAAGGCTTTGAGTTGCTCTTTTCCTTCTGCTGACACCAGCACACAGTGCATCCTGGTCGAATGACGGCTGACGCTGGCGCTAGCTGAGTGGTCATTCAGCAGGCTGACAGATCAGCTGGACTGACCTAAAACAAACAGATTCTCCTACAAAAAAGGCATCTTTCCTGAACCCTACCAGGGTCACAAGTTGGAAGACAGCCGGGATCTGGCAGAGTCTAGCTCTGGAAGGCTGACAATTGAATCTTTCTTAGGAACTCCAGAGTCTGGAGGTCCTGATCCAGCAGCTGCTGCTGCTACTGCCCCCATTCCAGCAGGTCCACCAGGAGGGGCTGTGGAGGCAAACGCCACCCTCGGTTGAGCTGCTGCCGACCTTCCTACCCCTGAGGGCCCTGGCAGGTTGGGGTTAGGGGCCTGAGGAGGACCAATGGAGTTGTTAGAGGTGCGGGTGGACTGTGGAGGGCTGGGGACTGCAGAGGCAGCTGGTGATGTCTTCTCCTGGGGGAGTGAGAGCTGGGAGGCAGACCTGGCCCGGGTATCCTGGCTCAAGCTACTTGCATGAAGGGAGTGGGTGCTCTTGTGTGAGGCAGGCCTCTGCTGGATATGAGTGGGGCTGGGTGCATGGTGCTGTACCAGGGACAACTGGGAGCCAGAGGGTCCCGCACTCGCCATGTACTGGAAAGTCCGTCCTGAAGCTGCGAGCGGGCTTTGGACAGGCGGGCTGGAGATGGCAGATCCAAACGCCCCTCCGAGCGTCTGAGGGGGTTGAGATTGAAGTGGGGACATGGCGACTGGGCTGGCCAGGCTTTGCATCACGTGAAACCTCCGCACCATGCGAGGAGACTGCAGAGTTGATGGACCCACCAGGGGACTCGCCATCTGAGGACAAAAGCTCATGGCCACAGCCTGCTGGAGAGTGGCGATGGCAGAGCCTGACTGAGGCTGGCTGGGGGGGGCAAAGATACCGCCGATGGAGGGAGTCATGGACATGGCCCGCGGCCGCTGCAGGTCCACGCGCTTCACCATCTCACGGTCGTACTTGATGATCTCCTGGATCATCTCGTTCTCCTGGTTGTTCAAGGCACCAGTGTTGAGATCATGCTGAACCTTGTGCAGCAGGGTGGAGTTATTTTTACCTTCAGACAAAAATAAATTGATAGGTTTATTACAGAGCTGCATACAGACAGGCCAGAGAGGACAAAAAGCAGAACACATAATAAATATATATGGAAAGAAAGAATTTGTGTGATGTGCTTCACACCAGGTACATCCTCTAGCAGAACAGCCCCGAGGATAATGGATGTGTCACCCCACACCCAATCTAATGTTATAGTGTCCCATGTCATTCTGAAGGAACAGCACGACTCGTTTTACTTCCTATTCTAACATACATTTTCAAAAAACACATCTTTAGAACAATATTATTCTGTTCTCTGTACACAGGGTTCATTTTAGCATTTGTATTTGATCAAATAGAGCCATGTGTAGAGATTCAAAATAATACAATACAGATGTTACGTGATTTCGTTCTAGTGATATGGTTGACTGCATCGATGTGCCCATATGTCGGCCTCTAATATCACGTATGCATGCCCTGGAAGCATGCCCTTTTTACCTATTCGGTCTAGACGGTCAATGGCAACAGTCTCAAAGGCGCGTCTCATCATGGGATATTCTTCCAGCACCTCATTGAAGTGGTCCACAGACAGTGAGTAGAGTCGACAGTAAGTCTCTGCTCGCACACTGGCCGTTCGCCGACCTCTCGTCAATAAACAGATCTCTGAAAGCAGGAAGGAGAAAATGCATCAGTTTTAAAAAAAGAAACTCAAAATGGCACATCCAGAAAAAGACGATGCCACAAACTGTGTCCTACCTCCAAAGTAAGAGCCATCAGAGAGTTTCATTGCCAGGGTGCCCTTGGTGATGACGCTGCAGACTCCGTGCTGAATGAAGTACATCTTTTTCCCAATGGTGCCTTCCCTTATTATGTAATCATGCGGCTGGAATACCTCAAAACGCAGCTTGGTCAACATGGCCGTCACAAAGTAGGGCTCTGCGTTGGCAAATAGCGGCATTGTCGCCACCAGCTTGCGACAGTTGAAGTTAACAATTTCCTAAGAAAAGACATTGTTTTGGTGAGTAACGTCTGTTACGTCTCTAAAGTACTATTTTAAAAATCAAACATGACGAGATCATAGTGCAAACTATGACTAATCTTAGGTTTCTCAAATAATCTTATAGTACAACATATCATGTGTAACATTTGCATTTTTTTCTGTTTTGTCTTACCTCTCTGAGGGGCTCACTGAGTTCTCCCAAAATGCTCTCCTCATCAAACATCTTGCCCTGGTATCTGTGCTCGTAGTAGTCATGGATTTTCTGTCGGAAGTCGGACGGCAGCTTATGGAAGGACATGTACTGCTCCACTTGTTTGTACTGAGGCAGACAGAGAAAATATGATGTTAATGCAGTACACATAATAACTCTTACACTGTAACAATGTTTGAATGTATTGTCCCTTTTGAAGAGTACATCTGGAGATATTCTGTGTTTTTCTTAATTTGGTAAAAACTCTATGAAGAGGATCTCAAAACCAAAATGCATTGATCCCTGTCTGTGTGGTCAAAGCCTGATATATTCGTCTGTGCCAAAAGGCTCCTTTGTTGTCCCAAAAAATATTAAAAACAGATCAATGAGCCACACTGTTGCTTTGGGTGACATGTTCTTTTATTATGATGAAAATGGGCACTGGAGTACTTTTCTAGTTAATCCCACAGCTAGCATCCTGCTGCTGCTAGATACTCACTGCAAACAAATTAGTATATCTTTATAGCTGAAATATAGCACTATCTAATGCATTAGTTGAGTATGATTGGCTAAAAACCACAGTGCCAAGCTTCATTGATAACTATTCAGCATTTTATAGAAAAAGGAAATTACATATTTGCTAAAATGATAGACATTGTAAGGATAAATGGATCAGATAACTGTAGGCTATTTTTATTATATGTACAGCACTTTGGCTCGACCAAAAAACGTTTATAAATGTGCTATATAAATAAAACTTGATTTGATTTGATTTGATAATGTGCACAGCATATTTACACACTTCTGTACGCCAAAAAGCAAGTATGCAGAGATCTTTCAAATATGTTTGTAAGCATCCAGCAACATATATTTTGTGCCATATGACATTTAGGAAGCTGTTACACATTTGTTTTGTGGGGTTCACTGATTTCTACACTTAGAGTTGGCAGTCCAATGCAACAGCCTGGCGGTAAATCTCACGCTCATGACGGTCATAATGTTCAATTTAAATTGCAAATGTATAATCGAAGTCCCAGATTCAGATATACAGTATGGACGGTTTGGAGGCTGTAGCTCATAGTGCTGTTGGAATTTATAACATTATCCTCAGAGATTTTCTCGTATTTTATTTTTGGGTAAACAAAATATTACAGTATAAACACCTCTCAGTATAACGCAATAAAATCCAACAGCACCACGAACTACAGCTTCCAAAAAGGATTGCAGCTTACCAAGGAAAATCAACAAGGGATCTCTCCGGGGATAATGCAACAGCAGTTTACCCATATGTCTTCCAGTGGGTAAGCAAACACAAAACAAACAACAGAAAACAAAACAAGCACTTGCCCTTCAGCTGGCAACTGAAATGAGCACACTTGCCCTTTAATCAATGCTACCTAGAAGCTGATCAATGTCAGATCAATCAAAATTGAAGGGGTCCAACAAGGCAACACAAACAATCAGCTCCTATTGTTGAGATATGCTAATCACAATCCATCCAGAGAGACTAAGAAACCAAAAGCTGTACAGCTTTTCCTGTGGAGAGGGGAGTGATGGATGCGGCGATGAACAGAACAGACAGTTAACTGTCAACAGAAAAAATATGTTTCCTTGTAATCAGACTGTGTGCATTTCAACCAAGCTCAAGTGGAATGGTGCACAAGAGACACTGCTTCATCCTGCACCTATAATGTAAAAAAACATTGACACCGTTTTGAGAGATGCAGTGAATGCACCGCAGGCAGGCACGTGCTGTGAGACAGCTGGCATCTCCTGACAATGTGTTCAACAGGTTTGTTTTAGAGTCGTGAGACCGCCCAACAACTGGAGGGTCCCAGGTTCACTTCTTGTGATGCTGCATCAGCTGTCCCGTCCGATCCCGCGAGGAAAACTGTGAGGTCCACCTGCTCACCCACGAGAGCTCTGAATCCTCTACAGACTCAGATACATGCCTTACTTGCACAGACTGGCTCTCTGTTTCCAAAAGAGAGAAATATTTGGATAACAAAGATTTTGAGTGGTTCATAACTGAATACTCGTGTACACAGAAGAATCCTGTAGCACAAGGCAATTCAACTCCATCTTTCATGACAGCAGTACACTGCTCCACTACACAGCTAAAAAGCACCTAACTATACGTAATAACAGCTGATATTGTCTTTACATAAATAAATAAAAACTAAACAGACCTGTCCTTGTCTTTATCATTTCATATAATTAGGGTCCCATTAGCAATAGCAACTAAATGATCACAACTGCAGAATTTTGAATTGATTATACTTCAGTATTTGGCTAAATATACTTATATTCCACAACTGAGAATGTTACAGTTTTTACAGTGCAGTCAGGAAAGTATTACATTTTGTATCACTGTTTTATGTCATATGAAACACTACATCTGGGTTAAAAGTGCCGATTCAGTTTGACTTTGAGCGTGATAACATCCATATCAGATGAACCACGTAGGAGTGCTAACGTGTTATTTATGTACAGCCATTCCATTTCGAGAGACTGAAAGTAACAAGTTAACATAGACGTGAATCAGGACTTCATATTTCATATTTGGCTGAAAATCCTTTACTGTCAATGGCTGGCTGAACTGTATGACCTGAAGACATCGGCAGACACACTTGGCATCCTCCGCTGCCAAGTGTGTACTCCTCAGTTCTTGCTAATAAACTCAGTGTGGTTTTCAGCACAGAAACACATACCCGTCTGGAGTGAAGTTTGTTCAGTCATATTATCCTGTCGTTTTGGGGGAATATAAAAGGATGCAAGTCCAACATTGCACACTGGCTATGGATGTTAACAGTGAACACAAACTGCTAACCCCATCAACACCAAGGTCTTTAAACATTTACAGTTCAGGATGATTCTTATATCTGTGATAACTTTGGAGATCTCCTGACTTTTCATATTGTCCAACACTTGTTGTATGACCAAGTTCCAATCAGCTTAAGATGAGTTTTATCCAAGTTACAATTATTACTGTAAAAGCTCTAACGCTGGCTTCTCCAATATTTAACAGTAGGTGGTAAATGCATAAAGACTGGGTGTCTATATTCTATTTCAAATCCAATGTGCTAGATTACAGAACAAATACTTTCTGAACTGTATGTAGGTTTGAAGCTACTACATGCTGTTCCTGCAGAGGGGGGGTCGGTATGCAGTGACCCCACAATGCGAGGAAACAAAAGTATTGTCAGTCTGCCCAGGAGAAGCTAAGCGTGTTTCTCCCACGCTGCTTCCTTCTGCCATAGAACATAAACATAAATAAAACGAACATTTGAATTATTCAGCAATTAAGCTAAAGTCTCCCGGGCAGAGGGGGGGGGGGGCAGCTGCACAGCTCCATGATGGAGTTACACAACACACGTCTCACCTGCATGAGTGACTCTGCTTCCTGACATCTGCAGATGGAGAGCGGCCTGAAGAAATGACCCAGTGTCACAACTCCTTACCCGACGTGCCAAAGCTAACACTGCAGCTGCTGAGGCTTTCATAAGGTGGAAGTGCTGATTGTGAACAAAGTGTAGGTGTTGGGGCGGTCTGGCAGCGAGGGAAAACCTCACACTCCCCACAGAGATGCAGCCGCCGAGCAGCTGTGGTTGGACTGTGACTCGGCCATGTCTGAATTAATGAGGCAGCAAAAGCCTATCTGGTTGATCTTGGATGGTGGCATTTAATGACTTGACTTTAAGAGCAATGACACAGTGCGGCGTATCGATCATCACCAAGCCAACCTGAAAACCCTCCAGTGTTACAGAGGAGAGAGGGCGTCACAGCACCTGCAGGGAGCTGACGAGCACCCAAAGGAGAGAGGAAATGACATCTATTTTCTGTTTCACATTGATGACAATGTATGCGGCATAAACGCTCCCCTGACATTTTGTCATCTAAAATGCTGCTTATGGGAACCTTTGGGGAAATGTATGGAGAGTTTGTCATTGACTGATTATATATTTCCACTTATAAGCCCATTAACTTACCCATGAGCTTCCATCTTTTAATGATATCCCACTCATTCTCCCTATTTCCTTTTGTTAAAGTTCCTTTCCTTTTGCCTTATTTCCTGTCCTTTCCCATCATCAATTTTATTTCATTCAATTTACCTTCCTTTCCTTTTTTAGTTTCCTTTCCTATCTTCTCCTTTCTGTTTCTTATCTTTCCTTATGTTTAGTTCTGTTTCCGAACCTTTCTCTTTTCTTCTTTCTTTTTTGTTTAGCTTCCTTACTCTTCCCATCCTCCTATTTCCTTTCCTACAACCTCTCCCCATTGGAAATTCTAATTCTAGGTTAATCCCAAACAGCCATGTGGATGTATAATTCATTCACTTAATTCCCTGCTATATCGGCTCATTATATTATACAGCACAATCACCAAAGAGAAGAACATCAGATAGTGGTAAGTCAGAGCTTGCCTTGTTCTTCTTAAATTGGGAGATGTGTACACAGAGAGGTACAACACACTGTGGGGTCTCACATAGTATAAAGTCGTATTAAATGAAATGAGGCTTCTGAAGAAACTCTGATATTCCTATAATTCAGTTAAAGGCAGGGACGACTAAAGTAGACTGACTGATAAGGCTTTGTTCATCAGACACACTTTCTACTAGTGAATAACATGAGCCGGGACTGGGGGGGCTGTTTTTTGTTGTAGACGTTGGCGGAGGAATTTCTTTGGCCACAATCTCTGCAAAGTCAGGCTGGTTGTGGATAATTGGAGCGATCAGTGACATGCAATCTGGCTTAAAGAAGACATATCACTGTTGTTGATGGTGGCAGCGGCACGCAGAGGGAGCGGAGGAGGAGGGGGAGCAGGTAGAAAACAATCTTGTACACAGTATTGTGCCACATCATGGCAGAGAGCTCAGACTAATGTCTGCCTTCTGTCTTCCTTACTAAGATTAGTCTCTCTACGACTACAAGAGAGGAGCGCTGATTCAATGTGAAACCCCTGTGAAGCCACTAAGACATGATTATCGATGCACAAGGTGTATCTGTGCAGCATTATATAACTAGTCTACTGTCTGCTGCATATCTTAAGGCATACTGTTTGATGTAAAGGGGAGGAATGTATGCCAATAAGACTTTTTAAAAGGGTATTTTTACACTTGATAGCTGGAAGTGATGTCACAGCAACCACTGTGTGATTTCAGTTATATATACATCCCAGAAAGAAATAAACAGGGGGCAAACATGGATCAAGTGACTGAGAAACTCCCTGCACAGTCCCTACATCGGACTTCCAACGTATTCTGGCTTATTAGACCAAACAGGTATCAATGACAATTTAAGGGACATTCTCACATTCTTACACCATAAGTACAAGTAACCGTGTCTAAAAAATCACTAACGTCAGCCTCCGAGGTGACATTGACAGTGACACTTGGGGAAAATAACTAAAGAAGTGTCAACATACTGCTAACAAAATAGCCGCCCGCCTGCAGAAACACTAACCTTGGGTGTTGCATCTCAAAAGAAAATCCAATATTAAAACCAATATAATGCAATTAGCTGATAAAACTAGTGTTTTTTTATCTTGTGAAAAGGCTAATGGCTAATGAAGTGAAAACACCTGTGTGTGTGTGTGTGTGTGTGTGTGTGGTGTGTGGTGTGTGTGTGTGTGTGTGTGTGTGTGTGTGTGTGTGTGTGTGTGCGTGCGTGCGTGCGTGCGCGCGCGCGCGCGCGTGCGTGCGTGCGTGCGTGCGTGCGTGCGTGCGTGCGTGCTTGCGTGCGTGCGTGCGTGCGTGCGTGCGTGCGTGCGTGCGTGCGTGCGTGCGTGCGTGCGTGTGTGTGTGTGCTTCCACCATGAAGTGTGAAGGGCTTGTAATGCTGCATTATCTAGTGACATCACACCATGTTACATAAAACCTGATAATGTCAGAATCACAAAGTCAAAATCACAAAATACATAGCACCAAAGTGTTTAAGTGTTTGCATTCTCTTAACAAGCAGCTGCGAGGGTCAGACGTAACATTCATTTTACAAGAACAGTGATGATCGGAAACACAAGGCCAGATTTGTCGTTGCATTGTTTCCAAAGGTGCATTAAAGGTGGCACAAGTGAGGCAGCTTCTTCTATTGTCTATGTTCCCTTTTGCTGTGTTAGTGTTCACTGTTACATAAATAACAAAAAGGTCTCTGAAAAGCCACCAAGCCAAATTCTGCCTAAATATAACCAGCATGCATTGTGAGTCTGACATTACTGCCGGGCTGAAATGGAAACCTCCACACAATGCTAGCTCGATCCTCACTGGGGCTCTAACAGACTGCCAGCAGACTTGTTTTGCTAACACTCTCCAAATGATAAAAATGTCACTCACAGTCCTATCCGGAGGCGTGGCAAATTCACCCGGCAGCATCGGCATCATCCTCCCCGGCATGGCTGGCACTTTGCAAGTTTCTTTATTTATTTAAATAAACACATCTTCTGCTGAAATGCTAATCCTCACAGAGCAGGAAGTGAAATAGAAAATCCGTCAGTCAGTCAGAAAGAAGGTTCTGGGGTAATGCACTTTCCTACCCTCAGCAGATCCAAAACTATTTTCTTTGGGTTGAGGGTGCATTAGAAGTATAAATTAATCCGAACAGACCAGACAGCATTATAAACTAATGTCCTCATGTAAAAGCATTTATGTTTCTTACTTCTTAAATTATCCTCAAACTGAATACAATTACAGGACGTGTGAGGATTATACACACTTCACAGCTCTCAGACATGAGACCTAGTGCTTGTAGTGCAAATGTAACTCTGTATTTAAAACCAGATTATTGGCTTTCTTGCACAGGATGCTCATTTACTGTCATTTACTGTGGGGGCAACCATTTCTCACAGACCACACGCTATGGATTTCTCTCAGGCTTTTTAACCCCCATCATCCAGGACACACAGGAAAGAGCAACAGTAAGCTCTCAACTTGCCGATTTGTTGTTTTCTAAAGCAGTTATTGGAAATGATTTATACCCAAGTGGCCAGCCGCATGCATGAAAAAACCCCATGGGAAGTTCCTTACAGCGACGAAACGCAGACATAACACTAAACGACGAGATGTCGACAGTGTTCAAATATCTCGCAGTGCACCAGGACTTGTGTCGACAACAAGGCCCTGCCATCTCCCACAGGTTTCCCCTCCCCCTCCCTTTGCTCCCTGTAGCAGACAGTTAGCAGTAGCACTGCACCTCTCAAGGACACCACCACCAGAGAGGATAAAGGGAGGGGGGGGGGGGAGAAAGAGAGAGCAGAGAGAGGAGGGATACAGATAAGAGGGAGAGCAGAAAGCAGGTGGAGATATTTAAAAAAGGTTGAGCGGAAGAAAAGAAGGGAGAGATAATGCAGAGAGGGATGGTCGAAGATGCATACCGGTTGATACAGAGTGCAGGTACCAGTGAGTGAGTGGTCAGGAAGAAGGAAGATGGAGAGAGACCGAAAGAGAGGCAGCCATGGTTGCTTACGTCACCTTCAGGATGACATTGGCAGGACACACAGGTCTGCTGCCTCATCAATTCTACTGCTGTCCAAGGGGACATCATATCAGACACACACTCTCTCCCTATGTCTCGTTCTCTCTCACACATTAGACTCCCCCTCCACACACAAACGCCCAGCCCCTGGCGACGTGGCTCTACCTGGCCGAACACACCCGCAGCCTCTCATTGGCTGCTGAAAGCCAGTAACACTCCCCCTGCTCCCCGGCCAGCGAGACTCTGCTTGGAAACAGGGAGGCTGTGCCGCTACACCACAGGACACTGCTGCAGCACTGCTCCAATCCCATCATGGTTCAAAAGATGACCAATAGGCAAACACAAAGACCAGCTAATTACAATACACATTAGTGGTTAAACAGTATCTGATAGAGGTCATAACCCAAAGGAAAGTCACCTGATGCTGCACTGTGCTGGCCCTCCACAATACATCTGCAAAATCTTTCCACTAATGTCCCTGCATTTTAAATAAATTAATAGATAAGTCTACCTTAGGATAAATGTATTTTAACATGCGGCAAATGTTTAACAGAGTTAAATCAGATAGACAAAAACACAGAAGGAGAAACGGACAAAAATAGCAGTACCTTGGTTTTGATCTCCTGAGATTATTTTTTTATCGACCACAGAGGAACTGACCAACCAGTCGGTCATCAGTACAAAACTCCTGCTGCGCAGCAACATGTGGTTGAAAGTGATTCAACTTTTCCACCCTGAGACAGATACCCAAACTTAACGTATCAGCATCATTACTTACCCGCTACCAGTGATCTTCTATTCACAAATATACCTGTAAAATTACCTTTAAAGGTCCCATGTCATGGCCATTTCTACTGATCATAATTCCATTGTTGAGGTCTACTAGAATAGATTTATATTGTGCAATTTTCCAAAATCGCATTGGTTTCTCGTACAGCATCTCTGTATAGTATGTGTATTCACTCTCTCTCCTAAACGGCTTGTTGGAGCTCCTGCCCCCCCCCCCCCCTCCCTGTGAGCCCAGTGGCCGTCTGCGAGACAGCGAGACACAGCGAAACCCAGCCCGAACACACACACACACACACACACACACACACCCGCAGCCTGGCTGGGAGTTTGTGTGTGTGCTCACTGCTCACACACCGACTTACAGCCTCGCCGCGTCCCGCCGTCTCAGGGAGGAGAAATCGGTGGAGCTGCAGCTGAGAAAAGATTGAGTGTGTGTGTGTGAGGAAGCCCGCGGATTGACCCATTTGGAGGGCAGCATAGACTGGTCTTTTCTGTGTTAGAGTTTTACTCGCTATAGGGTGTACTTTGAGGGTTTGTGACTTTGCAGACCGTTTACATGCATAAAAAGCTTCATAACACACAAGGGGATGGGTAATAACCGGAAAAGCATGACATGGGACCTTTAAGGTAAGGTGAGGCTGCAACAACACATCAGTTCTTAACTATGTGAGATATTCACCTTCTAGGCTTGTGAAGGTCATCGTTAATAAGATATAACTTCAACCTCATATTCTAAACCTCTTGCATTTAACCAGGTATGTTCAAAATGTAATGATATTTTTTTCATTCTTGCAACTCTCAAAAGACCTACTGTATAACCTTCAATATCAGAGCACTCCATACCCTATCTTGCATTGTTAACCAAAAAAGAAAAAGGTGTGTGTCTTCCCCTTTGATTTGGACCCCTTTACAATTGAATGGGTTATTCTATGGCGGATGCAAAACCCCCCAACTAAGTTTCAAGAAAATCAGATCGGTATTTTATTTCATCTGAAGATAGACGAAAAATGAAAGAAGTGCTTCATAATCTGGCAGCGCTGGTGTTTTGGCTGCCGGATTTGGCATCCCCTCTGTAACTTTTGCCAGGATGGTCATCACTCACCAAAATCACACTGGTGTTAGTTATTCCCTCTAGTTCAATTGAAGAACCTTTAAAAGGTGCTGGGCCCTGTCTCCAGTCTTCACGCTAAGCTAAGTTAGCCTTCTGGTGACCAAAGCTTCATTTTTAATGAATGGCACCAATTCTCTTATCTAGGTCTCAGCTAGAAATCAAACTAGAATGTCAAACTTTTCCTTTGATAAGAAATAAAAGTGGAACACTGGAGGTTAAGCGGGTAATAGGAAACATGTGAGAACATGAGACGGATGGAGGTGATTTAATGAAGCTGCTCACCTTTTCCTGGTACTGCCGCCTGGAGGAGTCCAGGGACTGGATAAGAGCTGTTGCATGGCCAATGAAAACAGCATAGCAAGTAGCTCCTACAATCATACTCAGCATGGTGAGCCAGATATCTGAGAGACTCTCCGGGGCCTGCCGGCCATAACCGATGCACAGCATGTGGCTCATTGCCTTGAACACAGCGAAGGAATACAGCTCTGACCAGGTATCATTCTGTGGAGAGAGAGAAAAGGTTGATAAGCAAACAATTAAAGACATCAATGTAACATAAAAAGGCTTGTTTTGGGGGAGAGCAGTGGCAGAGTAGGCCGCCAGAAAAAAGTTAGGGACAGCAGGGTCGTGGAATAGCTCTTATTCAAACGAAAACCCCAGAGACAGAGAAGCATTAGAAAGAAAGAGGGAGGAAGTAAAAACGACATCAGGGGAATCCTTCGAGGCCTAATCAGTAAAGTAGAGTCGGTTCGGAAATTATTTCCTCAGAGAGGAATGATAATGAGAGGTCATTAAGTATGCCCTTTCAGAGCTGTGAGAGTAGGAATCTACTCCAGGCAGCCGCCACCAGGCAGCTTGTGGTGAGAATAATGAAGGGGAAAGCCTCAGGTCGAGAGTTACAGAAACATCAGGGGCATTGGTCATGTTGTCCGAACACTCTGAAAACATTGAATCAACACTTTTCTAGATGTAAATAGTGGCTCTGTGTTTTTCCACTGTACAGATTTAGGCCAAACCTCCCTTCTTCACAAAGAAAGAGAGGGGGGAATGAGCGATCCGAACAAGCTCCATTGATCTGATACCTTTGTCCAGCAGCTTCCTTTGTCTCTCTTTTTTCTTTCATTAGCTCTCAGCGGTGACTGTGGTGACCTCAACCTGAACAGACTTCTGATGCCAATTAATTCAAAGAAAACCAAAAGCCGGGGTTGAATCCCAGTTTTTTTTTTTGCCTTATTGAATTAATTCTACCAGGGGAACAAGAATCTTTTATAATGAAACTGTAATATTAAAGCAGCTTAAAAAAGGAGGTTAAAAACAGCCTCCTTCAAAAACCTCTCAGAGCCCAACAACATTTTCTATCCTCGCTCCTGACACACACACACACACACACACACACACACACACACACACACACTCCTCTAGCAGGCTACAAAGAGGTCAATTATTCTTCAGCAAAGGCAATAAACGATATCCTCTCTAACTTATGGATTTGCATTAGCAGTCCAATATTGTATGCGCTATCACATTATAAAACACACTTTCCTTTCCTGGCTCATTCCAAAAAACTAAATCAGCCAATCATTCTGTTAAAGTCATGTATCTGCAAAAACATTTCATGAGTTGAGAAAAGTTAATATATCATTTTAAATGGCTAATTCTTCAGGGTATTTAAACCTTGGGGTCTGGGAAATTGCCATGAAGAAAAAAATCAATAAAAGCTAAATAAAGATTGATTAATAATAAAGTGAATCATTAGAAACTCTAAAGAGCAAAACGATAAAGTAGATTAACAATACAACATCTTGTCTTGTGTCTGTTTGATGAAGTTAAAGGGACAGACACAGGGAAAGAAGCACCTCTACGTCACAAGAAGAAAGAAACAACTGACTCCAAAAATAAATACAGCTCCACCAAGTGGGCTGAGGCTAAATGGTGTATGTGAAAACAGAGAGAGAAACAGTGGAGTGAAACAGGTTGAATAATAGATGTATGATGAGCACTTTGATTCCGAAATAGCACAGGCAAGATAAAGGCAGAGAGAGACTCCATATCCTTATAAGTCTCTACAGGCCTCCCCAGGGATTTCAGTTTGGGAACTATCCGTTGCTTTGTTGGTAAACACCGTCTCCATTAGCTGCAGATAGTGGGGTTTGAAGTCGGCTCATAACGCAAATGGTTTTAAATTCAATCTCCAGTGTCCTAAAAAGGCCTTTTTGTGTGCGCCTCTGTGATCTTACTGTGCGGCAGGCCTCTTATCCCACATACAGATGAACTCAAAAATATATTTGACCTGCCAAACAGAGTGAGCAGATGTTAGATATATACTTCCAGAAGTGAAAATACAGAGTGTGCTGACTTTGAGTTAATAGCAGCTCTTTGATAATGTAATGCTCGTCAGAAAACAACATGAAATATTAAATATATCAGATTTAATATTTGGACACAAGGTGATGATGACAGAGTAAAGGTATTTGTAAGGTAAGAGGTTCATTAAACATGAACATGATAATCAAAGTGTTAAGATATAAGCGTGGCAGAGTTGTGTGAGTGAGGAGCAAAAAGGTCATTTTTTCTGACATCAGACCTGTGTAGAAGAGATATAAAGAGAAAACACCCTTTGTTACAGTTATGCATTAAGTATGTTACTCATTGTAGTTTAAGGACATCCTCCCAATGGTCGTCAAAAACAAACCACAAATGTTAATCTCATGTTGCCGCTAGAGCATCACTTAAAACATTTGGGGAACTATCAATTTACAGGAATCCATCTGGTATTTCCGTCCGCACCAAAGTGGGGGACCAACACACCGACATTGACCAAAAGGGCACATAAACACTTTTGATTACCACTCTCATCAGGTCACACCTCGCTGGCTGCGGGACGGAGGCCATGTGCCGGACTGATAGGTGCAGAGGGGGGGGAAGAAATGACAGAGACAGGGAAGAGGCAGAAAATGGAAACTGAAGTCACATCAGACTGAATGACCGACCTCTATGTGTGTCCGACTGCCGATAAACTGGATAAATATCAAAAGATAATCTACACACATGTAACAAAGCTTCTTCTATGGCCCTGTCACACACACACGCACACGCACGCACACCAGGTTACGTTTACAATGGCTTATCTGAGTTTATTGTACAGTCTGCTCCGTCTCCTGCTCTCTCTGTCTCTCTCTCGGACTCACTGAGTGTGTGGTGTGTGTGTGTGTGTGTGTGTGTGTGTGTGTGTGTGTGTGTGTGTGTGTGTGTGTGTGTGTGTGTGGTGTGTGTGTGTGTGTGTGTGTGTCTGTGTGTGTGTGTGTGTGTGTGTGTGTGTGTGTGTGTGTGTGTGTGTGTGTGTGTGTGTGTGTGTGTGTGTGTGTGTGTGTGTGTGTGTGTGTGTGTGTGTGTGTGTTGTGTGTGTGTGTGTGTGTGTGTGTGTGTGTGTGCGGAGGGGGAGCAGTGCATTTGACATTACATTTCAAGGCCAAGCGGAAAGTGGCACTCACAGTATTCGATCTATCAACATGAACCCTGTGTGATGGTTGCCTGGTTTGTGTGGTTGTGTTTCATTCAATGAAACTCTAATTCACATTGTTTATAGTTAAACTAATTAGCTTTGTTGCCGACATGATAGGACTGATACCACACGTCTGTGCGATAAGTATGGAGCCGGAGTTAGTCAGCTTGCTTAGCTTAGCAGGACTGGAAGCAAAGGGAGACAGCTTGCCTGGCTATAATTGGCACGTCAAATCATAACTTGTTTTTACATTTCTGTTTGTCTATGGATTAAACAGAAAACATGTAAACCTGTTTTCTTACTTAGTACACTCCCAGACTAGCTGTTTCCCCCTACTTCCAGTATTTTAGCTGTTGTACTGCTTTAATACCTGCATGTGTAGATGGAGGTGTTCAGCATTCCCAAGTTAAACAAACCTTTTACAAGTACTCTCCTACAGTGACAGAGACACTTACATTATTAATTATATTTCTGAAGGGGAACTCCAGTCAAATTGGGTTGACTGTTAGAAGCAAAAATGAATTATTTGCATCTGATGTCGACTTTTAGCTTCTAATAGCAAGTTCAAAGAACATATAGAATATTTTGTTGTATAATGCAACTTAAAAGCTTAAATTATCTGTAAATGCCCACGTCTTTTCAAACTCCACGACCCCAGTTTCTAACACAGGCTTTCAGGAATATGTTATTCTAAGCCCAGACGTGTGGCATTTAGAGTTTTCTTTTTACTTTACAAAGCTCCTGTAGAGCAACAGAAAATGATTATGACCATGACTGAAATAACCTTTATGTGTAGAATATGTTCCATATATGTTTTTTCAAGTCTATAATCACTTTTAAGCCGACAGTGTGCAAATTATGAACAATTGAGTTTGCATTTAAGATCTTAAAGCAATCTTTAAAGAAGATTTCTCACTAAGATTTGATGATGACTTTTATAGTCTCAATTAAGTTGAGATGGTTTAGTTTCTAAATGAAATGATCTCAGTCAGAATGCCAAATGTATTTACCTGTCTTCGAAGCAGCATTTTATTGAGTAGTTCTCGATACAATACCCTAAAATATGTTTAATTACAGTGACTTTACTTCTTCTTGAGTGTGATATAGTAGCATTGCTTGGCTTCAGCACAATGGAAACACCTGCGTTCCTCTGGGACTGAGATAATCACATCCTTTTCTCTCCTCACCCAGAAAACAAACACCACCTATTACTGAGGTTAGACAACAGCTTTCACTTTTCATGTGCATATGCTGTTACAGGCCGAGTGAGTAATCCAATTTGCACCGTCCAGCAGCAGACCTGTAATACTGTTTGGTTAAAGTAGGTGCAGTAAGTAAATAAAGTGATTTAACACATATGTAGCAATTACCAGCTTATCTTCTTCGAGGTAGCAGACCACTGTAATGCAAAGCCCCCTCCCGCTGATGGCATTACAGGGTTGAAAATATACACCCTGTGTCTGTAAGTTAGCACTGCTGTCAGTATTATTATACAGTCGTCTTCAATGATGCAGTGAGGCTCTGCCACCAAACTGCACTGGAGATGAACTGACAAAGCTGCGTTAAGCTAATGCTAAATATAATCTAAATGAAATGAATGGGTGCACTGCAAAAACAGCCTTTGCTCCCTGAGATATTACAAGTTCGGCTGAACCCAATTACTGGTTGGAGGATGTCATCCAGAGTTACACAGTGTCCTCAACGCACTCCATGGGTCCTGCCTCTGGGTCCCTCACCACCAGAGCCACTGTAGGGTGCGAGGCGTGATGGATGGCCTGCTGCAACACAATGGCTAATGTTACAAGTTGTCAGCCGCTCAATAGGAGGGCGGTCTCAGGTGGCTGTAGGCAGCCTGTACCATGCCAGAGCGGCCCCTTCGCCTCAGAGTGAGGGCTCTCTGGAGACGGGCTGTCTTTGAGTGTACAGAGAAAGAAAGCAGTTTCCTGTCGGCCCCAAACTCCATCATCCAGGACTTCAAACTCTGCACACTGCACAAGGTTGTCTTCTGATGAGACATGTTAGTTTATTAAAGCAGATCAATTAAGTAGTCGTGGAGTTTAGGTTGTGATAAGTCAGCACTGATTATGTAATTCTTACAAGTGAAATAAAATACCATTAATAGTTTAAGATCAAAGCTGCATATTTGATATCCAACATATAGCCTTTGTTTAATGTCTTGATTCATGTATCAATGCACAAAATATGCATCTTAAATTGGATTATTTTGTCTGACCAACCTACCAAAACCAGATGTGTATTTGAATGTAAAGGTGGAGCTAAGACATTTTTGGAAAAAGGCTGAAACGATTTGAGAGATTATCAATCATTATTATTATCATTTGTTGTGGATTGACTGAGGAAAGAATGTTGCTAGTATTACCTTTTTCTTTTAAATGAAAAAACATTGATGTATGAGTCAGTTTGTGCTTTGCATTCAGAGTTGTTTTGTGGGTGTATTTCAGCAGAGGGCACCCAGTGGATGTTTTACATCAAAGACTGGTTTGGACATTGTTAAGAGTCAGCCTCGGGGAGAGTGGACACACCTGCTGTGGATAAAATCTCTTAACGTCTGCATCCTGAGTATTGTTAAATTATAGTACACAAGTTGAAATGTATGTTTTATTATTTTAAAGATAACACAAAAGTAATGTTGGCTGAATTATATAAATAGCAGATGCCTCCTCCTGTTCTGCCTTCTTATAGTTCATGTTTATATATTATATTTCCCCATCAGTTAATTTTGATTAAATATCCCATGAAAGCACCATTCATCAAACCCAACATTTTATTATTATTATTATTATTGATGCTGAGATCCTGAATCAATTGTATAATATATGGTTTTGTCAATACTGTCCAGCTCTACATAATAGTACCATAAACATGGCAGTGTGTCTGTGTCTGACACCTAAAGCAAAAGGCCGTTGACAGACATGAGAGGGGGGACATTCATCCTCCTCCCCACATTAACTTGTTCAAACAGTAATTACTTTTGTAAAGCAATAAAAAACAACAGCCACTGCTGCCATCCAGGAAATAAAGTTGTTATGGCAGGCTGGATGAATGTAGAGAAGCGGGACCCAATCTTTGTAAAACCCCATTTGGACCTGTGCCTCATGTCTGGGTTAGTGTGGTCTCCCCTCACTCAGTGAACGGCTGGGCTCACAGACAGGACCTATAAACAAGCAGCTTTTATCTCTCGGAGAGAGACATGGCAACAAAGAGACCAGCTGCTGGGCCATATCCCCCATCCCTCCGTTTTCCTCTTTTATCTTTCCTGTCATCAGCCCACCATGTTGAAGAGGAGCCACGGAGGGATCCAGAGGTGCTTAAATCTCTGGTTTCTTTTTCACAGCTTTCTCATTATTTTCAGATCGGCTGCAGAGGGCATGGATATGAGTCATTTTCTTGAGTTAAGTAATGCTGTCTTTTCCTCCTGTATCAGTAATTGCAAATTGCAACAATAACTAGGATAATAATAGCTCCCTGAATAGTGCAGTGTGCTGTTTTAAAACGTGGACCGTATTGATGTCAATTACACTATTGCCGCTAACCTAGAGGACCCTTCACTTTAGACAGCAGCATGACACTAGGAGTGTAAATGTGGGTCCACAACCTTGGTTCAGACTGAATAATAATGTATAAATACTATATCTTAACTACTGTTGCTTAGGTGGCAAGGACATTTTGTTCAGACTGTGTTGCTCCCTTGAGGATGAAGCCTACTTTGATATATGAACACTAATCACCAATCTCCTATCGATATAAGACTTTGATGTTCTCCTGGCTTTTCATGTTGCACTATATTCATGTCTCAATTTAATTTGTCCAATATGTTTGAATATACCCAAGAAGGCTGCCCTAATGAGGTGTAGTGCTAAATAGATCAAGTTAGAAGCTAACACACCAAACTAAGACAGAGGACGTCGAAGACATTATAGCAGATTAACATCAGTATATTAGCATTATCATTACGAGCATGATGCTGTTAGCATTTAGCTCAAACCACCACTGTGCTCTCCAAAGAGCTGCTTTGTGTGGCTGTAGACTCTTAGTTTTGTTTCAAATTATTAAATGTCCATCTTTGAGTATGACCCAAATTCCTCCAATAGTACAAGATGCTTAACAACGCAACAGATTTATTTTTGTGCCAGGAAAGGAGTTGAAAGGGAAATAAAACCAATGTTTTCTGGTGCAAAAGTTCACTTAGAGATTTGAGGCTTTCCTCCAAGAGAAAGAGTTTATCATGGTCCAAAAATATTGATTGACGTTCAGACTATATTTCCTGATCAACTTCAATCAATATTGTGTGACCAACGTTAGCTCTTTGCTAATCAACGCAGAATAAAAGATGCTGATCCAGTTCTGGGGGGGATATGTGCAACTTGGTATGCGCAGACACGGTTCCCCATTACATACCTCCATCTTGTTGAGGGACACCCAGCAGTCTGAGGGGAAGTCCTGCAGCATGGGGACCAAGAACTGTAGGCAGCCGTCCCAGTGACACAACAGCAGCATCATACCAATCAGGTTAAAGATCCGCATCACCGCACTAGCCAGGTCATAGGTCATGTGGAAGATCTGTAGACAACAAGACAGGAAGTGAGGGTTACATTGTGCTGAGACATGTGGAGATAGAAAAAAAGGAAGAGCCATGGAATTCTTCCGGCAAAGGTTGAACAACTCCTGCAGAGCAGCTACAAGTGTGAACTTTGCTTTGGAAAGTTCCTTGGATCTTTTTTACTTTGTGGAACTTTTCAAACTACTTTATCAATCCCAAGTGGATATAAGGTTTTGTGACAGTTATAATAATTTAATTAATACATATTTAAATAGATACAGTCCCTACCAAAAAGCATCTTCATGAACTCATATAATATGGCGTTCATTTTTCAACTTTGTCAATGGCTTCCCACTAAACTCCTGGATTATACCAAATTAGATTAATGAGCAGGGGAGACAAGTTCACTTCAGTCCCACATCAAACGCAGCAGGAGCATTTGTTACACAGAGACACACGACATCAATCAGAGGCTCAGACATGAACACAGAGTCCAGTCACACACACAACACACTCACGCAAGCCCGCAGGCACACTGATACACCAACAACACAGACAGGCATGCCAACCCGCTCACATACACACATTCACACAGAGTGATGGACAGGGACCATCATGATCCTTAACAACTGTGAGCCTATGTCGTCTCACACATCAATCATAGTGAGTCACTGGACAGACACTTAGGCCAATCATCTATCACCTGACTGACGGACAAACCTCCCGTTGTTGGTGCTTTACGTCTGCATGCTAATCTTTATTAGGTCAAGATCGGAAGAAATGACAAACTTTTCACTGTAAGAAGGTCTGTTAAATGGGTCATTTCTAACTTGGTGTAGCAGAGAGATAAGTGATGCTCTGTGATGGGAGGGATGAGGGATGAGACTGGACATGAATCACATGTGCTGATCTTTCTAAATGTCACTTTAACCTTTATGGGGTTTTCTCTGTCAGTTGATATCAATTAACAACTGACCAACTACAGTCATTTGTCATATCATCCACAGGTTGGATGAGAGGAACTGTGATGCACATGGTCCTGTTGTGCCGGCTAATGGTGATGTTCAGCACCACGGACAGCTCATACTGTTACAGGAACTAAAAGAGCTAAGGGCTGAGATTATTTGATTTCAAAATAAACGATGACATATAATGCCCAACAGACTGGGCTTTGGAACTGGTCGTTTCCTTTGTGTCAGTGTCTCACTCTTCACCCCATCTCCCCTCATTCTCCATGCATGGCAAGTATCACTTCCCATCATGCACCACTGTGTGTGTGTGTGTGTGTGTGTGTGTGTGTGTGTGTGTGTGTGTGTGTGTGTGTGTGTGTGTGTGTGTGTGTGTGTGTGTGTGTGTGTGTGTGTGTGTGTGTGTGTGTGTGTGTGTGTGTGTGTGTGTGTGTGTGTGTGTGTGTGTGTGTGTGTGTGTGTGTGTGTGTGTGTGTGTGTGTGTGTGTGTGTATCCCATCATATCTTCAGAAATCCAATTATCCAAAGGTCAAGTTTGCAGCCGAGCCCCTCTGCACTGCTCACCACTGCAAAATGCCAGCACCAGGCTGCCAATACTGGCATAAACTTAAAGTCGAGTGATCTTGTGACATTGTTGGACTTCCTGTCTCCCAGGCAGCTCCCTTTCATTATAGAAAGGGGAGTCCAATGGAGAACTTGGAGCAGAGCCCCAACAAAGTGCATCCTTCAGAAAGTAAATCAAAGCTGAGTGGCCAGAAAGTGCAGGATTGTGTCATTGAGTTCAGTTTACTGGAAGAGGGGACTACCTAGCAACTGCACCCATCTTCACATCCAAAATCTGTCAGGCCTCTGAGGAAATACCAGCTTAACCTATCCGATCCTTTTAAATGAACAATTACTGACATACATAATCGCATTCAACAGCCCCCTAGTGCTGCATATTATCATCACCTGCTCTTCCTCTGGCACCTTAATTGATTAAGTGCGTTTGCCCTGGTAATAGGCTGCTTATTAGACCGCCTGGCGTTGCCTGTGGGACTACCAGGTCAGACAGAGACACAGAGGGTAAGTGGGGGGTTTGTGTGACAATAACAGTAATTAGAATGCAAAGTTTGTTAAAGCTCAAACATCCTGCTGACATTTTACATTTCTCACCAGGTGGCAGGTGAGAACATTAATATGGAGCGTGCAGGCGGAGGAGAGCAGGCAGACTGTTTCTTTGATCGCAAGCCAACATCAGCATATTGGAGGCAAACCAGTGACCTTTTATCACAGACTACATTGGGTTTTGTGCCTAAGAGTTGATATAATATGTACTGAGGGACACTCGTGAATCCTCTTACCTCTTCCCATTGGTGAATGTAGCGTATTAATCTAGAGAGCCTCAACAGCCTCAGAAGACTTAGGATCTTGGTAAAGCGGACGATCCTCAGGGCCCGAGCAGTCTTGTACACCTCCGCGTCGATCCCTTTCTCCACTATGAGGAATATGTAATCCACTGGGATGGAGGACACAAAGTCTACAATGAACCACGTTTTTAAGTACTTTTTCTTAATGGTTTCAGGGTCCAAAATGATGTCTGAATTGTCTTCAATGATGATTCCAGTGCGAAAGTTTAGCACCAGGTCCATAAGGAAGAAGGTGTCGGAGACCACGTTGAAGATGATCCAGGGCGTCGTGGTCTCGTCCTTGAAGAAGGTGATGCCGACGGGGATGATGATCAGGTTGCACCCCATAAACAGCAGCATTGTGAAATCCCAGTAGAACCTAGCAGGTGTGTGACGTTGTGGTGTGTGCATGACAGTGTGTTAACATGTATTTGAGTGTGTATGTGTTGAGGGGGAAAAGGGGGAGGGGGAAAAGACAAAAATAGAGTCAGATAAGAATGAGAGTTGCTGTGGAAAGCCGATAGGCACAAGAGACTTACTAACTGAAGATGGGAAAGAGTAAACGAAGTACTAAGTCTTCCCTTTGCATGCCTAAACATTCAGAGAATAATGAGATGAACCTGCTTTTACCACACATATTATTTTAATGCAAATAAACCACTCCTATAATTGTCTCGGCTCCTGGCTGATTAAGTTTATTTCTATACCTATACTTTTTAGGGTTCAAATGATGGAAGACACATTCAACCTCCTTTCGTATCACTCACATTGGCCTGACTTACAAATACTGCACTATAGTCTAGCTTTACACAATTAAAGGAAACTATTATTGCAACAATGTTCCTTATGATTTTTGTCTTTTTTCATTTATTCTGACCTTATGCAGAAAAGACTGGAAACGATAATTCATCCTTTTTCAACAGACTGAGCTGGCACACTTGATAAAATATTACAATATTCCATATTTTTACAATGTAAAGGTCTATTGTTCCTCACGGTGACTCATGTTTAGAGTCAATTAGACCTCATATAAACAAACTAAAGTAAAACACAGATAAGATCCAAGTAACTGCAGTTTTACTTTTTGTTTTAACCCTGATTTACAGCCATGCTCTCAGAGACTCCAAAGAGAAGTCCTATTCTGACATTTTCTATAGCAGATCAAATTAGGCGTCTCATCAATTAGAAACTGCTCTAGTGTTGTACTGAAACATCAGTGACTTGAGCTGTCAATCAGGACCAACAGAACATTATGTTTAATGTCTTAGAGTTGTATGGATACCAAGAAGGCAACAGTCTAACCATCTGCCATCTTTGATGGGGCAGTTTGGTGGATGGGGTAGACAGAATTAAGAGATGTCTGAGCCCGTCACAGGAAGCTCTGCAGGACAGGTGCAGCGCTGAGTCATTACACTGCGACTTATGCAACAAGCTGTTCCACTTCACAACAATAATAATAACCATCCCATGATAATATTTGAAGCAACTTTAACTATGCAGTACTTAGGGGGAGATACAGACTGTGTGTGAGCTAGCATGGTAAAGAAATGTGTCCACCTGTCGTTAAATAAAACATCTGTCTGAAGTTTAGGCTTTAGTACTGGTCGGCGTAATGTGATCGAAATAGGCCAAACATGAATGTCGCTTTTAAGGGGGACGAGGGGGGGTTAAAGGTAGCGTTCAGATGCGCAAGACGACTCCAAATTATTCGGGAGCTATCCCCTCCTTGTGGTGCTGAAACCACACAGCCCATACTAGGGGAAAACTTTCACATTTTCTGACCTTAATACAATTTAGCCACTGATACATGTCGAGAAAATGATTATAAGCTAATTCATCAAGCCCGAGTCACGAGGAGCCTTCGTGGCTCATATCTATGTCTTTAAATATTGTTAAGACCAAATAGATGATGGATATCTTATCGATGTTTGAGCCTTAACATATAACATGTATTAAATGCAGGATCAGGGGAGCCGTGCAGGCGGTTATGTCTCCAGTGATGCATGCTTGAGGTTTTCGCACACTTGGCTCAAGGTGACATTCCATTACTGAGTGCATCGCACACACCAAACACATACACACACACACACATAGCCTATTTCCTTTCAGCACGCCTCTTGTCGCAGATGATAGCATATTATACTACTGCACATTTTAACCAGATCTTCGAAAAAAATAATGGCATTTTTAATAAGCCCCAATAAGCGTTGTCCTCTTTGTTAAACGTAAGCGTGCTTCAACAAAAAGTCTAGATGTGTTAGCAGGCCGGGCTTGTTGAGCATCTTGTTGATTTGTTTACAACCTTGAGAGGACACTCTTTGCTCAAGTCCGTTTGCCTGACAACAGGTTGTTTGGGGGATTATTGGCAGCACGTTGTAATGCATCGATTCAAATCTCTAAAGATTCAATCAGAGGGGATGAAATAAAAATGAAGCAGCCTTTTACATTAACCACGCATGTGTTTTCCCACCGTGGGGACTCAGTAAGTTATTTGTAGATGACAATGGGGACCCATACGGCCCCTCATGACATTCAACGTGCAACCAATGGCAGCCCCAGCTCTTACCTGAAATCGCTGTAAGGGTGGATAATCCAATTTCCAGCTGATTTTACCCTCTCCTGCTCTCTCTCCACTGCTTTTTGACTACCATACAAGCGTAAGGAGAATTTGTTAACTCCAGGCTGCAGCATACTACTAAACTGCCGCTGCATGAAGCTGGCTTGGCTGTCCTCAGGCTCCGAGTCCTCGGCCGGCACGATTGGGGGTCCATCCTCCAGCTTCTGGAAAGTGACAGAGTTCCTGGGCTGCTGGGTCTGGGTCTGAGTCGGGCCGTGCAGCGAGGACGAGGCTTTCCGGCTCGGTGCGTTAGAGAAGGACACCCTGGAGTCTTTTTTCTCGGGCAAACCGCTGGACACTGGGGTAGAGCCGGGGTTGACGCTGTCTCCTCCGTGCCCCCCGGTCATGGACCCGCCTGGTGTGATCGAGCCGTCCATGCTGGCGGTGGTCGAGTTACGGGCTCCTCGTTTGGCGCTCCCTCCGTCCTCGGCCCTCCCCGACCCTCCTGTCTGCCTCTCCTGCTTGGAGATGATTGAGCGCAGGCTCCCGGTACCCGAGTCCCTCCTGCATTCTCCGTTTTTGTTGCATTTCATGCTGGAATTTGCAGCGACGCTTTTGCAACCATCACTTGCTGCCGCGCTCAAAACCTCTAACGCGACCGCTGCCGCCGACGCCCCCGCCCCAGATGCTCTGCTGGTCTCACCGCGCTGGGCAGCATCGCCCGGAATGGGTGTCTGGGTCGCCGTAGCTCTGGAGGCAGAGGTGGGCCGTGGAGCGGCAGGAGCTTCCTCTGTGTGCGTGTGGCAGGGCTCCTTGTTTGAGTTTCTCCTGGAACCCGAGGACGCGGCTCCCCCTCCTGGCGTAAAGTTCTTCATCCTGATACTGCCGCCTCCTCCTCCTCCTCCTCCTCCTCCTCCACCTCCGCCGCTGCCGCTCCCCCCAGCTCGGCGCAACCGCGGATGCTGGAACTTGGACTCCTCTTCCCCGTCCTCCGCCTCGTCCATCACGATGTTGCTGGCCCCGCCGATCTGCTTAGCGCTGGGTGCGACAGGAGAGCCGGAGTCCATGCAGTTCTGGCTGCTGGTGCTCCTTGTGCATTTTGACGCGGCAGCCTTTGGTGCGCTGATGTGGCTGCGTCCACTGCCGTCCACCTCCTTCTTTTTCATGGTGGCATCAGAAGCCGGTGAAACCTCATTCCTGTCCATCACATTGAGCATATCAAATGTTGCCTCCAATTATCTCTGGAGAAAACCAATCAGAGATGGAGGGGAGATGGAGAGAAGCAGAGAGGGAGAGAGAAAGGAGAGAGGGGCATGGGAGGGGTGGACGTGACTTCTTTGCAAACTACTGCGCTTTTACTTTCACTAGTCGTGTCACAGATGCTCAAGCTTCACACTAAGTGAGTCCTTTGACTGCGTGTCAAATATCATTAAATTAAATTAGCATATTCTCCTGCTAATTCCACTCAAGCTGCCTCCGACTGAGGCCTCTCTGTCATGATGACCCGAAGCTTGGTTTGCCTCAAGTAACTATTTTCTAAATGCATAGCCACACTGAAATACATGCTCAATATGTTGTCAATTAGGGTACAAACTAACATCAGCAGTTTCATTACCACGTGTTCATGAAAACTCCAATGATGTCATATGTTTTAAAGGTGCTTTCAATGACAACCTCACTGAACTGGTGTTAGCCATGGCTGGTGCTTAGTGCATCCTAGCGGCCACATAAAGGAGGCACAGGAGAATAACAATATTCAACGTTAGGTGACCCTGAAACAACAGAAATCAAGTTAAATACTGAATAAACAGAAACAGGAACAATTTAAACAGATAACGTCAATATCTTGATGAAAAGGTAAGATACTGTCCAACTTGTCGTCTCAAATGTGCCTGATCTTGTTGTTGGCTTTATGCACCTGAGGGAACACACTGTCCCCCTTCTATTTTTGAGTTATTTCATTTATTCCCCCTGGAGCTATGCACACGAATCTAAAATGTTTTTTAATTGAAAGTACACAATGCACAACTACAATTTGTACTGTAGTTGTGCTATGTGTCCTCGATCTTTGTATAAAAGGGAGAGAACTGAGGATGGGTCAATTAGCTATTCAAGTCACCTACTGCACAATCCGTGCAAGTACCTGTAACAAAGGTCACCAAGAACAGCAGAGGTGCTCATGTAGTGCATGCACTGCAGGTGAATGCTGCTGCAGTCAGATGAATGTGTTTTTCTCGGGTGTAAATTGCATGGCATAAAAATGTCTTCCGCAAGTGCAGTGCATTAATAACATTTCCATTATTTAGAATTACACTAAGATAGCTTGAATGCATGTTTGAGCTGCAGAGCAACACATAGGGAAATGGGCCGTGACAATCCAGTGCTTTGTCACTTGAGGAGAGACAGAGTAGTTAGCCTATTTTCTTTGTTCTGGTTGAGTCTAATTTTGGCCTCATATGAAGGATAGCTTGCAAAGGCCTGCTTATCAAATCAGCATGACTATATAACTGGTGCCAATCATTGAATCTACATATTATCACTGCTGCAAATTAAAGTTAGAGTAACATTTCCTCCCTGCATGTTTCATACCTTTTGACATCACTGCTGAGAAGTCATACGCGTCACCGCTCTCCCCCTCCCCTGCTCTCTCTGCCAGCCTCCCTCCACTTCATTAGACAATGCTGCAGCTGCACCAAAGTTCACTTTAATTTCCTGCTGGTTCGATGCAGCGGTGTGACGCTCTCAAAAAAAGCCAGAGACAAAGAAGACAGCGATCTGTTGAAATGGCAATAAAATAAAAAGGAGTGTTGAACAGACGCCAGACAAGTATGCAAGTGGTGGTGGTATGAAAGGCCCAGAAACATGTTGTAGTAGTACAGGAACCAGAAAAGCCCATATAGTAAACACTACGGTTTATTTATTTTTTAAAGTAAAGCAAAAAAATAGGGTACTGTACCATTTAAATCAGCATTTTCAATCAGGGCCTCTGTTCTTTCACCCTTATTTAGTTATCCAACCAATAGCAGCTTTAATGTGTTTGCAGTGGAAGGCAAAGTCACACCAATATGCTCTGGTAAGGTTGGTACCATCAGGAATACAGATTTATTTGTAACTTGTATTTATTAGAATATAAAATCCTCTGGTTGGGTGACTCAGCCACAACCTGTTAGTTTATTTTTTAGAATAATTCCTTTTTGTAAATGTCTGACATCCGGCATGCTGCCGAGTTCCACAGAGGTATGAAGACCCTTGAGGCATTTTATCAACATTGGTTTTACATTTCTGTCAACAGAATAGCCAAAAAAGAACTGATAGTGCCTATAAAAAGGTATATGCCCTGTGGAAGTTTGAAAAACGTGTTTTGTTGATATTTAAGTATTATTAAAAGTGTAACATTAAACCTCCTGTTGCAACATTTGATGATGACATTTTAAAAACCATTCATTATCAGGAGAAACTTGAAGGATTTGCTTGTTTTACCACTTTATTGTGACTGTACGAAAAATCAGTAAATCAAATTTAAACACTTAGTGGAACACATTTGGCCAGTTTCAAAGAGGTAAGATGTTCCCATGCCTTTTTATACAGTTGTTTGATGTTGCTCAATATGGGTCTTCGGCAAGGGTTAAATAAATAAATGAGCTTGATTCGTTTTTTTGTTTGCAAGAACAACTTGTCCACTGTAGAGCTGTGTGGATCTTAACCTTTGCACCAAACACACTCGATCAAGCTCTAATAAAAAATATACCAGAATAAAAACAACCTTTTTTTTTTCACTGCAGACATTTTTTCTTTTGTTCAGTAGTTTACCCAAATCTACATTCCCACCATCAGACACAATTGTGTGTAAAAGAAAAAAAAGGTGCAAATAATTTTAAAAAAAGTGCATCACTCAGCTTCCTTTCCACAAAGTTTCAGTTTGATCCACGAGCTGTACAGCAGCTGACCAATTATATCAAATTCTCTATCTACACATCTACGCACTCGGCACCACCACAGGCTTTAAAAAAAGTTGCATTCTGTCTTTTGAATAAAAAATGTGCCCCAGACTCGACAAGTCTCCGTCAAAAAGCTGCTGGCTCAAACTCTGCTCCAGTTCTTATTGTTATGGTGACAGCCTTTCTGGATCCTCCCTCCACATCACCCCGTCCCACCTCCTCAAATACTCGGAAACAATAGCAGCAGGCTCTGGACCGGGCGTCCGTTCAGCACAGGGGGAGGAATGATGACTTAAAGTCTGCAACAGATTCAGAGTTCAACTCGACTCACATCGTCCCCTAGGGATGAGACGGACCACTGTCCTGGTCTCAGCTCGGAGCCGCTGGGTCTCGCTTGGCTTCATTTGTGAGGTTTTCAGATGTGTGGTGACGGTGGAAAATCTAAGAGTTTCTGGCAGCATTCTCATTGTTAGGAGAGCTAGGGGAGGAAGAGGAGGAGGATGAAGGAGAGAAGTTCATTCCTGATAACCCGGGTGGGTCTGTGGCCGTGTTCTGTCCACTTAGACTCTTCCTGCAGACAGGACAGGTATCATGCTGTGGAAAAAAAGGATTAATGAGACTTTAGATGTTTCAATACGAAGGAACATGGTATATTTGGATACAAAAAATATATACTAAATTCTCCTACATACATAAGAAAAATACAACCCTGTATCCAAGCTTTTCTTTGCCAATTTCATAAAGTGTTATCGTAGTGTTTTATTTTATAAGAGTAAAATGTTTCTAAGCGTTTTGAATGTATTTTTGTAACAATACAACATCACTCAGGGGATTCACCAGAGGTATGTTTAAAACTGGAGGTGACGCATCAGTTTGTTTAACCCAAAGCATTGCTGCTTTTTTTGCATACTGTCACTATAAATACATTTAACAGAAAATGCAGGCTGCTGTTTATTTGAGTCGCCCTGCGGTTTACTTGCTCACACTGCAGCACGTTGAGAAAAGCGTCAGATGTTTTCACAAAGCACAACGGTTATAATAAACAAACTATCTCACACAAATGTGGCTTTATAGCTGGAAGTAGCTGATACCAAACAAAAGATAAATGTCTGATACAAATGTTGGGGATGCACGTACCTGTTCCAGCCATGGCACTATACAGGCATTGTGAAACAGATGATTGCAAGGCAGCTGTCTAACATTCTCCTCCACGCTGTAGTCTTCTTTGCACACAGGGCACTCTAAACAAGCACCTGCACAAACAGAAAACCACATGTCATCGGTCTGTCCGTGTGAGATAAAGGCCATCGAAAGAATTGGTCACACTGGCTCTGTGTATCTGACTTCAGGCAGTGTTGCAAAGATTCAATTCAAGTTCTTCAGAAGCACTCACAAGAAGAACTACACATATAAATATAAATAAATGCAGAAGTCTTCCCACTTTAGTCTGTCTGTTGGGATAATGATATGCAACGAAGCCTTGTTCTCGTTATAGAGAAAATACCGTTATTGAAAAGCTGACAGCCTGTGCCAGTCCAATACGAAGAACCACACTGATCATAGGGAGAATTTTTCGGTTTCGTTCTGGCAGATTGGTCAAAAAAGCTGTTGCCGTTGCAGGATGGTTGAGATATAATTACTGTGTATCAATTTGGATACTTCTGTACACTTCCATGTAGTACATTGTGTGCACTTTGTACTTGCGTGGGTAGAGTTTGCATTTCGACAGGGTAATGCAGGGTATCCGTGTTGATTGTCTAAACCACGATGCTGGCCCGCAGTTAAATATCTGCCGGCTCGTTTGCTCACTTGACAATTGTAAAAAACTGAGTGCAGTGTTTACAGCTTTCTTAAAGGGGACCTATCATGAAAAATGCACTTTTGTACGTCTTTTATACATGAAAATAGGCGCGTTCACACCGCAGTACTTTTCCCACTTTAGTTCCGATATAGTTCCGAAATGTTGCGTTCACACCAAAAAGAGCCGGAACTAAAATTAGTTAATGAGAACCTTTTCACCCCCTTTTCCGTCCCTGCTAGAGAGCAGGGACTTTCGTGGGAGAAAAAGGTTCCTATGTCTGATTGGCTGGGCGCCCACGCCCCGTAAAACTCCCAAAAAGTTTTGTGAAGCCGCCATTTTATTATCCTCGCATTAGCATTATTAGCATTAGCCCAGCGCAGAAACGCAGAGAGACTAATTTATGGCAACACAAAATAAAACATGGGAGCGGTGGAGATGAGGAGGTGTCGGCGTTCTGGCGATTTACTTGGAAGGCTTC